GTGGGTGGTCGTACGTTCTTTTGGTCTTGTTTTGGTTGAGGAGAGGCACCACTGACTTCCTCTACTCTTTCTTTTTCGACTTTTTCGTCTTCGCCTTCTGTGGGTTGTCGTAAGTTCTTTTGCTCTTGTTTTGGTTGAGGAGAGGCACCACTGACTTCCTTTACTCTTTCTTTTTYKWYTTYTTCGTCTTCGGCTTCTGTGGGTTGTCGTAAGTTCTTTTGCTCTTGTTTTGGTGGAGGAGAGGCACCACTGACTTCCTTTACACTTTCTTCTTCTTCCACTTCGGCTTCGGCTTCTGTGGGTGGTCTTAAGTTCTTTGGCTCTATCACAAATACTGGTTCTTCTGGATCCGCAGCCTCGTATCTGTCTGGACTGCTCTCCCGCATATTTTCTTCTGGATTGATAATGATATCTGACTTCTCAGTTTCTATGCATCGAACTTCCCTGCAGTTATCTTCAGAATTTCCATCAGTCTGTTCAGCCATTTCATTAAACCGCTCCTCCTGCACATGAGGTTGATCTGCAATTTCCTCTATGTGAAAATGAGATTGGTGCCCTTCCTGAACATGACGTTGATCTGCAACTTCCTCTATGTGAACATGAGATTGGTCTTTAGTTTCTGTGCTGTGAAAAGCAAGTGGAACTCTAGGAAAAGGAGTTACAAACGCAAGCTGAAGCGGACTACTTGACGCAGAATCTATCCTGAAGTCTGAAAGCTGAAAGACATTCTCTTCATAACTGTATTCAGTTGATCGTGGAGACATACTGGAACGGTGAGCTGATATAGGGCTTAGTGGTGTTGTATTCTCAGAGTCCCATGTACTGCGCACCCGCAGCTTGGGGTATTGATGTTCCAGCAAAACCTGGAGAAAGGCGAATTAATAATTGGCAGTGAAAGGATATCCACGCTTTCTCTTAAAAGTGAAAATAACATACATCTAACTCTATTGAGTCTGTTGATAGTTTCTCTTTTTGTGATTTTTTTTCTTCTCCAACCATTCGCCTAAGATCGTCAATCTCAGAACGAGCTTGCTCTAGTT